CCCGCCCATATTTTAAACGGGCCCGGGCCGGGCCGGGCCGGTGGGCTAAACTGTGTGTCCAAACCCGCCCATTTATATGGGCGGGCCGGGCGGGCCGGGCGGGCCGGCCCGGTTTTGTGCAGGTCTACTCAGTCGCTAATTTGTCTCAGCCGCTATTCTTTCAGTCGCTGATCAATCATGAAATCTCCTTCAGGTAGCGCCGATTCAACCAGTGAATCCAGTCACACTGGCGGTGCAAATCCCACATCTCAATCTGATTCTTTTTGGAATATTTCTATTATTTCTCATAATTTAAATGGCAGTAATTATCTTCAACGGTCTCAGTCTGTCAAATTGTTTGTTCAAGGACGGGGGAAATTTGGATATCTCACCGGATCCACCGCCAAGCCGGAGGAAGGAGAGGAAGGACTTGATCGATGGGAAGCTGAGAACTCCATGATCATGTCATGGCTTGCGAATTCGACGGATTCAGATGTTGGTCGTGCTTACTTGTTTTTACCAAGTGCACATGAAATCTGGACTGCTGACGTGCTCTTTGTCGTGGTGTGCACTCAAAATAATAATACAATACAACACTTATACGTAGTATAGCGTAGTAAGGTTCGTATTCACAGCGAAAGGAATACTTCTCTTTGTATAACTAGTAATAAGGGTTTTTTTTTTAGATTTGTTGTTGAACAACTTTTAAGAATATTAAAACACAAAGATGAACGAGTTATGTGGTTTAATTAATGAGAAGGAGACTTGGTTTTGCTTTTATCCACTTAATGAAATGTTCGTCGATCCCGGTTATATATATCTTTAACTATCTTCCTCTCGAACACTCAATCGAGGAGTATATCCACTTCATCGAGGGTAGTTATTAATAATGAGACGCGTTCATTAATAAAACTTACTACCGAGTTAATATAGAACACGCGCCGTATATTCACTCGATAGTAGCAATAAAATCAAGATGAAAACGATTGAGATTGATAACCTCAACACAAGCGGTTTATTGGTTTAATCAATATAATTAATTCCCCTTGGTTTATTAACCATGAAACGCATGCATTAATAACCCAAGTTTACTACCGTGAAAGGACCGAATTAATAACAAGCGTATTAATCGACCGATTCTAGTAATAATTAGTATATGAAACAAAACTAGTTGATCCTTTAAGTAATGTTCAAAATATTAATATGAAATATGAATAGGAATTAATTAATACTCAAGGAAGAATATTAAAGAAGATGAATCCTACTATAGTTAATATCAAGATGTTAACTAATTGTCATCTTAGTAACACTCCCCAATATTAACATAGAGGAAGAAATAGCTATTACTATAACTAATGTCAAGATGTTAACTAATTGTCATCTTAGTAACACTCCCCAACATTGATATAGAAATAGTATTTAAAGGAAGAATTAATATTCAAGGAAGAAGATTAAAGAAGATAACTCACAACTTACAAATTCATTAAGCTTCAAAGTAGCAAAACCAAGATGGAAAGACTACCTAAATTACAAGAATAAAGTGTATATGAAAGAGGGGATTAAATTGGTATCTAAAATAGGAAGGAAAGGGGTGTTTTTATAGGAGAAGTGAGGTGGTTGGGTCTAAGACATAATCTGATTTTCCCATGTTCACTTGCTTTATTTGATCTCTTATTATCTCTGGGTCAAATCATATCCGATTTTTCACATTTCTTTGTTCTCCATGAAGCTTCATCTTGTCTCCAATGCTCCTTCCTTATGCTCTCAAACTCCTTCCTCTTCTTTTCATCATGTTTTTGCTTACATGTCAAAATATCTTAATATCTTCTAATTTTACTTTAATTTTAGAAGATAAAGATTACACCGTAATTGTTCAAAAGCTAAGTAAACATAATGTAAAACCATTCTAAAATGTGGTGTTTATGCACTACTAAATAGTACACATCAACTGCCGTCAAGGAAACACACTCAGACTTGGGAAATGTCAGCCAACAATTTGAAATCAAGAATTAATTAAATAAAACACGCCAAGGAGACAAGAGTGTCACACACTATTACACTGAACTAAGTACTCTGTTTTGCAACTACACCTGGAAATGCGCAACAGATAGTGCATTATAACAAAAGACCATCCAGAAGAAGAGGGTCTTTGACTTTCTGGCTGGACTAAACAAGGAACTTGATGAAGTTCGAGGTCGAGTACTTGGAAAAGACCCACTGCCCAGCACTCGAGAAGCATTTGCAGAAGTTAGGAGAGAAGAAAGTCGTTGGCATGTGATGCTTGATGCTCAAATTTCATCAAATGCTGAAACTATAGCGCTAGCCACTTCAAAAGCTGATGAGAAGCTAGAACTGTCACCTCAACCATTTCAAAAGAAAGAGAACAGACCTGTTAGTGACTACGGTCACAAGATTGGGCATATCAAGGCTAAATGTTGGAAGTTATATGGCAAGCCAGCTAACTTTGCACCAACAAATAGGTCACAACGAAATTCCAGAGGTGGTTACCAGGTCTCTTCAGAAGAATCTAATGCGTATCTATCCTCCAGTGACAACTCATCCATTAAGGAAAACGTAGATCAATTGTGTCGTATCCTGAGTACACATCAGTTTGCTAGTAACCTGAACCAAATCCCATCTGATCCTTCATCTTCATTAGTTCAAAAAGGTACATATGCAGCAACGTTTAACCTTAAATTAGATAAATCTGACCCTTGGATCATTGATTCAGGGGCCACCGATCATATGACTGGATCTTCATATATGTTTTCCACATATTTCCCTTGTTCTGGTCATCAAAAGGTTAAAATTGCAGATGGTTCCTTGTCAGCAATAGCTGGAAAAGGTTCTATTGTTGTCTCACCTTTACTCACTTTAACAAATGTCCTACATGTGCCTAATCTATCATGTAATTTGTTACCAGTCAGCAAAATAACCAGTGATTCTAATTGCCTTGTCAAATTAGTTTCTTCTGGGTGTGTTTTTCAGGAGCACAGCTCGGGGAAGGTGATTGGTAGTGCACATGAAAGTGGTGGACTCTACTATTTTACCTCAGAAAATCTTCAACGTAAACAAGTTCAGAATCCATGTTTCTCTAGTTACTTATCTTTAGAGAATGAAATAATGTTATGACATTATAGATTAGGCCATCCTAGTTTTGGTTATTTGAAACATTTATTTCCTATGTTATTCAAAAATAAAGATGTTGAAGTTTTTCAGTGTGAAATTTGCCAATTGGCTAAACATAAGAGATCTGTTTATCCCACTGTGAACTATAAACCATCCAAACCATTCTCCTTAATTCATAGTGACATTTGGGGACCATCTCGTGTCAAAAGTTATTTTGGGGCAAGATGGTTCATTACATTTATTGATGATCACACATAAAAAACTTGGATTTATCTTCTTAAAGAAAAATCTGAAGCTGCTGAAACATTTAAAAGGTTTTATTCTATGATTCAAACTCAGTTTCAGTATCAAATCCAAGTTCTTTGAAATGATAATGGAAAAGAATATTTCAATAAAATTCTTGGAATTTTTTTGATCCAACAAGGCATACTCCATCATAGTTCGTGTGTTGATACACCTCAACAAAATGGAATTGCCGAAAGAAAAAATAGACATCTTTTAGAAGTTACTCGAGCTCTTATGTTTTCAATGAATGTTCAAAAACGTTTTTGGGGAGAGGCCTTACTCCATGCTGCTTATCTAATCAATAGGATGCCAAGCAAAATTCTAGGCTATCAAACCCCTTTAAAAACTCTACAAACATTCTTTCCTCACAATCAGATCACACTTTGTTCTACAAGCATAGTGTAGAGGGTAAAGTGTCAGTACTAATTGTATTTGTGGACGACACAGTATTGACAGGAGATGATCAGGAAGAATTGGCAGCATTAAAGAATTTCCTAGCTCAACAATTCGAGATAAAAGATTTAGGAAATCTCATGTACTTTCTTGGTATGGAAGTTGCTAGATCCCATAAAGGAACTATGATCTGTCAGAGGAAATATGTACTTGATTTGCTAAAAGAAACAGGTCTCCATGGATGTAAACCTGTGTCAACTCCAATTGACCCATATCAAAAATTTGGAAGAAGTGAAAATGAGGAAGCTGTGGACAAAACCAAGTATCAGCAACTTGTTGGGAAGATTATCTACTTGGCTCACACAAGACCTGACATAGCATTTGCAGTGAGCTTAGTCACCCAGTTCATGCATAACCTAACTGAAGAACATCTTAAAGCTGTCTACAGAATTATTCACTATCTTAAAGGCAGCCCTGGAAAAGGAATTTTGTTAAGGAAAACTCAAAACAGACAAGTTGAGGCGTATACCGATGCTGACTATGCTGGCAGTAGTATTGATAGAAGATCTACATCAGCTTACTGTACTTTTGTATGGGGGAACCTGGTCACGTGAGAAGCAAGAAACAGCATATTGTATCAAGAAGTAGTGCAGAAGCTTAATTTAGAGCAATGGCACAAGGGATCTGTGAAGTCATATGGGTAAGACGCATGCTAAACGAGTTGAAGGTACCATTAGAGAAGCCCATGAGGTTATATTGTTATAACAAGTCTTCCATTAGCATAGCACATTATCCAGTGCAACATGATAGAACTAAACATGTGGAAGTTGATCAGAATTTTATCAAGGAAAAACTCGAGGGTGGAGAAATATGCATACCTTATGTGCCAACAACTGAGCAACTAGCAGATGTACTAACTAAAGGGCTCTTCAAGCAAATGTTTGAAGAAATTTTAGTCAAGCTAGGCATGATTGATATCTTTGCTCCAGCTTGAGGGGGAGTGTTAGCTATTTTGAATGAGTTGTAATTAGATAACCATTGTACTTAGTCAGGGTTGTTAGCATAGTTTTAGCTTAGATCCTAATTTTAAGGAATTAGTTGTTGTGATGTTGTGATGTATTCTATTTAAACTGGCAGTCTGTGAATAAAATATTCATTCCGCCTAAATCAGTTTAACTTTCACCTTGAGTCACCTGCCAGTTTTGGGGTATACATTTTGACAAGAGAGAGCAGAATTACAGATGCTCTTGTTGAGATAGTAGGTGGAACTGTTACGCATGAAGAGGAAGAATTGCTTGACTACTTGGATAATTCCCTATTTCGACTAATGGATGGGGGACATGGTAACACCAATGCAAATGCTTCAGGAGGAGTTCCAGCGGATGCAAGAGATAGAGTTTTATTATCAATTATTAGTGTGGATCATGCCAGTATAAACTCAAATCTATTACTTAATGATTTTGGGAAAAATTCCACTTTTGGTCCCATGACTTTGATACCACTTCCACATTACTCCCTTGACTTTCAATTTAACCAAATCTAGTCCGTGACCTTTTCCCCTTCACCACCCGTCGTCCTTCCGACCACAACTCCGGCAAATTTTAACCGGAAACCAATTAATGAAGGTTAGTTGCGTCATTTAATAGCATTTATAGGTTTTCTTATCGAAAAAATTCCACTTTTGGTCCCATGACTATTATGCCACTTCCACATTACTCCCTTGACTTTCAATTTAACCAAATCTAGTCCGTGAACTTTTTCTCTTCACCACCCGTCGTCTTTCCGACCACAACTCCGGCAAATTTTAACCAGAAACTCATTTATGTAGAAATATTGGGACATTTTAGTAATTGTATGTTGTTAAAACGGCTACCTACAAAATTAACTTCAATTAATATTGAGTTAATACGCCGGCTTCCTTCATTCTCAAAACCGGCTTCCTTAATACGTCGGCGCCAACAAATCCACCACCGACGCTGATTAGTGTCAACACAGGCTCGCAGAATCACCACCCTTTTCTACCTCTTTCGTTTAGCCACCACCAGTTAAGGTAATAAGTTTCCTTCTGTTCAATTTTTTTGTTTTTATTCTAATACTATCGTATTGTGTTTAATTTTTGTCAGTGATCCGATGTTTATTTGAGATATTTCAATATTTTGTATACATGGCATTCAGATTGAATGTTTGCTCCAATTAGATATCGTATGCCATTTTCATGCCCATAAGGTGTTTATTAAAATGCTACAATGAAGTATTAATTGGTTATTAAAAATTGTTAAAAGACTTACATAATCTTTGCTCCTCTTGTTTTTAAATATGTTCTCTCTTTTATCTTCTTATTAAATTGCTCTCTATCCCTGGCACGTTAAAGCTCGTGAACTTGAGTGAGGGTTGGGGCTTCTGGAAAGTTGTTGCCTATTATCTATCTTTAACCGCTCATGAAGGGTTTGCTGCCTTGCTGGCATTGCTGCTATTGCGTTCCTGCAATGATACTCAGAGTGATGGTAGAAGGGTTTTGTCAGTGTACATTAAAACGATTCAGAAAATGCTCATAAACTCAATTTTTTCCATAGCATCTAATGTCTCAGCTTGGTGTACTTATTTTGTTGCACCACTCATAGAAGAGCTTGTTTTAGAGCTTGCATGATCCCTTTGCTTTCTTGTGGAGGATTCAATATGTATACTGTCATGTTTCTTTGTCCCATATTTTTTAGTTTAGCTCATTTGAACCATTTATAGGAATCACCCAGCAAAGAGGCAGCTTGCTCAAAGCTTTTAGGGTTGCAGGTTTCCAGCTTGGCTACACTGTCATATTTGGGTCATATGCTTCCTTTCTATATGTTTGTATAGGGCATCTGATCGCACCTCTTGTTGCTCACATCTTTTGTAAGTATATGGCCTTGCCCGTCATAAATTCTCCTCAATCAGGGACAATAGCATTGGCATTTCTAGCCGGGCTGCTGGGATTCTACCGGCTTCTTTTCCCATTAACCAGTCCACAACTTCATAACAATAGAGCAAGTAGTTGCAACTGCTGGCATCGATATTGTACTTGAGACTAAAGAAGATTGGACGGCTTGAAAGAGATTGATCGGCTCCATTATGAAATTCAAGATAGATGGTACTTTCTCTTACTTCATACAGGAAGCCAGCCACCTATTGCCACTTCCCACCATTTTAGAATGATGTACGTACAATATCTTGCATGCAGGTCACTCATACTTCAAATATTAACATTATTTACAACAATTTCTTTCTTTGCTTATTTTCTTTAAAACTGAATAGTGAAATCACCTCTAGTTTAGCAACACTTTTGTTTTAGTTCTTAAATATATACTCCCTCCGTCCCAAATTGTTTTGCAAAGTCATCATTTTTTTTGTCAAACAATAATAAAAGTCGATCCTCCCTATCGATAATTAATTCAATTTTTAATAATTGAAATTTACATATTCAGAAACTCCATTAAAATTTCTTCAAATTTGCAAACTTCAAATTAGAAAATAATTAAAAATTGGCATACTAATTAAGCGAATAAAATGAAACAGTTTGACCAAGAAAAGTCAAATATTTATTACATCCCTGTCTACTCTTTCTATAGATGGAAAGGATTGATCAGAAAGGTTTTTTTAGGACCATATACATGTCAATTGGGAAGTTTTTCCATTTCTTAATTTCGAGTTACTGAGAAGTTTCTAACTAACTAATTTTGATTAGGCAATACTTAACAGTAATTCACACTATATATTAGTTATTTATAGTGTTCTATGTCACCGTAGGTGGGAGCCTTTGCGGCACTGGGGTGATGATGATGATAACATCCTATCTCAGTTACTAAGGTGGTAATAAAAACCATAAAATACTCTATTTAGTTGCTAGTTTTTTCGTGAAAAGTTAGATATATAACCAACTAAAATATCAGTAGTAAAGTATTTCGTATTTATTACACGGTTACACCACACAAATGCTCAAATTTAAACTTCCAAAGTTGGACTCTCACTACAAAACGTAACAATAAATAGAATGAACTGCCTTTGGTGATGCTTAACTTCAGTCGCTATTGAGGAATTAACAACAATTCTATCAAAAGAGCACTAAACTAGAATTTGGAGTCCAATCCAGATTTACTATGGAGACCACCATATTCATAAGTGCATCTTTTATCCTTTTAGTTTGGAATTTTATGTGCTTTGTGTATTTATTTTATCTTTATACAGTTTCTTAACTTCTTTTAACTTTGACTGAAGATGAGGCGGTTCTTTTTTTGTCAGTTTGCTTCTACTTTTTTTGTCAGTTTGCTTCTCTACTTTTTTCTTGGGTCGGAGGTTTGTCGTTACTCTGATGAATTCTTATCTTTTTCAATCTTTCTCATGGTTATGCTGATACCTGGGTGCTAGTAAGCATATGTTGTTCGTTTTATTTTAACCAACATTTTTTCAGTTCTGTTTTACTTCGATATATCTCTAATTTGCTGCTACTTGTGTTGTTTTATTAACTTATTATATCCAAAACTCTGAAATCAATTTACAGCCTCTGTGATCAAAGAAAGAGAAGAGATGTGAAAGCAAGTGTGCATTTAACAGGAAAAATGTACTGGCTGACAGTAAAATGGAGGTCATTTAGCTCTCCTCTCCTTATTATTCTATGTGTTAATTAGAATCTTTTCTCTTTGTTGGTTATTAGTATCTTATGTTGTATTGCTATGTAATGAATGAGAATATTAGTTGACGTCACTTGACGATTTACACTCTTTGGTTATCTGGATTTACTATTTTTTGGATCATTATTCTTTGTTCCTATCATTACGTGGCATCAATTTTTGGAAGCTGCAGGGTGCCAAGTAAGCTGCTTTAGAATTCAGAAACAAACATGATGTCGAAAAAATATTGGAGCATGAAATTTACCAGCCAAGAAGAAAAGCAGAAAAAAGAATTGAGCATGATCAGATATGCCAGCCAAGAAACGTGGAGTTGAGAAATGGAGCATGAAATTTACCAGCAAAACATGCTATTTATAGAGTATAGAGTTGAAAATGTCTTCCATCTGTTTAGTATATCGAATTAGAAGAGTTTTATAGTTAATATACTTTGATGTTTTGGGTTTTTGTATTGAGCAACTTTAGTTTACTAAATTACGAAAGATTTTTTAGATTATGGTTGTTATCAGATATTATGACTAGTATTATTTATAGAAAATCGTATAATAGATGTGTGATATAATATATAAATGAGCGAACAGTTGCATAAGTGTGATATTAAATGCAAACATTATCACAAATCATCAAAATAATATACGTTGCATAAATTTAGACGTGTGTTGCTTATGACTCCAAATAAAGTGTTGCTCATTTCGCAAAAAACGTTGCATAAAATATTCATATTAGTGTTGCATGATACAAATTAGTGTTGCAAAAGAATATAATAAATATGTTACATACTTTGAAAAAGATGTTGCATAAAGTTATATTAAAGTGTTACATTTTATTACAAAAAGTGTTGCTTATATGATGGCTAAAGTGTTGCAAAGTAGTGTTGCATTAGAGTTATTTTAGTAACACTTTTTCCTAGTGTTGCATAACATGACTAAAAATGTTGCGTATGACTTTATTCAACGAGACCTGAAGTAACGCTCATAATAGTGTTACATAAACCTTTCGTAACATTTTAACGGTCTTATGTAACATATTTGAAATGTTGCAAAACGTCGAATTTGTTGTAGTGACCCCTCCTTTAAAGATGAGTAAAAGATAGTCAAAAGTCATAATTAAATGTTTAATTCATAATAAATTCGAAAAATTTTCAAAACATCGTAGAAAATTAATAAAAAATTAATAAAATATTTATAGAAAAAATTATTTTTTTTTAAAAATGAAAAGTTCCCAAAGACTAAAATAGTTTGAAAATTTCAAAATAGGATTGCCATGCTTTTGTTTTTCCAAAATAGGAGCAATTACAGTCAAGTTTTGAAAATATTGCCATGTTTGAAGTCTGATACTGTCAAGTATGACAGTAATTAGTCCTGTTTTGGGAATAAAACCATGACAGTCCTATTTTGGAATTTTGAAACCTTTTTAGTCCTATTTCAGGTAATATTCTCTAAAAACAAATTAATAAAAAAAGTAAAACTCCATAAAAAAAATTAAAAAACAATATGGACGCCTTTCCCACCGCCTGTACTGTCTCCTTGCACCATCACCTCCGACCGGTGTAAAAAATGTTATTTTTTCTAAAAACTGCCATTTTTTTCTTAAAATACCAAAAAAATGGCATATTACTTTTTGAGATTGCCAACATTTTTATTGTTTCTGCCATAAATATGGCATTCATAATGAATGTGACATTTTTCCCTCGGTGACCGGAGGTGGTGGTACTGCCTCCCTGCACCACCACCTCCGACCAGTGTAAAAATGTCATTTTTCTAAAAAAAAATGCTATTTTTTTCTTCTGAAAATGACAAAAAAATGACATATTACTCTTTGAATGCCAACATTTTCATTGTTTCTGCCATAAATATGAAATTCGTAATGAGTGGGGCATTTTTTCCCCAGGTGACTGGAGTTGGTGGGTGCTAGGCCGGCAGAGGTGGTGGTGATTTTGGTTTGTTTTGTTTTGTTTTTCAAAAAAAATATTTTTTAAATTATTATTATTTAAATATTTTTATTATTTTTAGTACATTTTATGAATTTTATTATTTATTATTATTTTACTATGAATTAAAACATTTCAATAGCTACAAGGTTTATTTGTCCAAGACACACATAATTAGTAATATGAAAACATAGTTTATTTTTTTTTGTACTATTTGTGCAAAGTGACTGACTTTTAGTCCTATTTTGATAATTAACCCTAATAAACCCACTACATCTTATATTTCTAAAAGGAAAATTTTACAAAAATAATCCCACCTTTCATCGGTGTTTTTATAATAATCCTACCTTTACGTAATCCCCAAATAATCTCACTTTTGCATTTCATCTTCTTTCGTTGGACCCTGACCTGTTGATGAGCTACTATATCAGGTTTTTTGTCCTTTCTTTGAAAACCTAACTTAATAATCTCATCTTTCACAAATGTGCTCAAAACGGTCCCATGTTTCATTATTTCTTTTCTCTCTCTAATTTTTTCTTTGTTTATTTTCATCCGATACCTAGACACTTTTTATTACTTTTTCTATCATTTTGTTCTTATTTCTTTTCTATTTTTATTATTTTATTTCGTAATGTATTAGGAGAGTTTTTTTTTGTAAAATTTCCTCCCCCAATAGATCATTTTGTCATTTTGAGTTTCTTCCTCTATTTTTATTTCATTTCCTTTTTTATCTTTCTGTTCTTAATCATTCTCTTCTTATTAAAGATATTTTTCCACTCTACGTTTTGTTGTATTTCCTTTTTATTTTCACTTTCCCATTTTCTTCTTCTTGTTTCTTTTTTTATAATGAATTTCTTTTTTTCTTGTTGTTCTCTAATTTCACCATCAATATAAATTTTCTCTTTTTTGCATTATCGTATTTTTCGAAGTAAGTCCACTCATTAATTCCATCAACTATACGAAAAACTCTATGTGACAAAAAGATTAGGGAAAAATTAAATTAAAAGAAAAATAAACCATTTGCAAAAATGAAAGACAGAAAAAATTACATTTTACTGAATGTTTTATTTTTATTTACATTTTCCAAATGTTTTAATTTTCCACAATCTTTTTTATCACATAGAGTTTTTCCTACAATTGATGAAATTAATGAGTGGATTTAGTTAGGAAAAGACGATGATGAAGAAAGGAGAAAAAATATTTTGATGGTGAAATTAAGGTAACAACAAGAAAGAAAAGAAGAAAGAAGAGAAAACATAAATAAATTAACAAGAAGATAAAAGCGGAAAAGTGAAAATAAAAACCAAAATATAACAAAAAGTAGAGTGAGAAAAAACTTTTAATAAGAATAGAATGCTTAAGAAGAAACACATAAAAAGGAAAATGAAATAAAAATACGGAAAGAAAAAGAAAATGAAAAAAGAGCTATTTTGGAGGGAATGTTTACCAAAAAACTCTCCTAATAGTATAGAGCGAGAAACAGAATGAAAAAAAAATGAAAAAGAAATAAAAACAAAAGAATAGAAAAAAAAAAGTGTAGGTCTAGGGATGAAAATAAAGAAAGAAACATTTTAGGGAGAAAAAAGAAATGTTGGGATATATTATCCCGGCCTATTACTGTTCAGGAGCCCAAGACATTATCCAGTACGGAGCCCGAGCAGCTAGGCCCATTTCGGCCCATCCGGCCCACTTTGACCACCAGGCCTGATATCGGCCCGTTTGGCCCATTAGGGTGGAGAGCCCCTTCTCTCCTTCCCCTATAAATACGGAGCTTAGCCTCCATGTAAAGGATCCCTTTTTCCTTTCTTCTTCTCCCTCCTTAGCTAGATTAGAACTCCATTAATGGGAGCTTCAAACAAATTGTACTATGTAATGGTGAGGAGAGTCCTAATGAGAAAGAGAGGGCTTGGACATTAGCCTAAAAAGTCCCGTGGTTTTCTCCCTTTCGGGTTTCCACGTAAAAACTGAGTTGTTCATACACATTTATACATATATTTACTATATCGTGTTGGATTAAACTCAACAAGAAAAAAGAAACATGGAACCGTTTTGAGTAGCTTTGTAAAAGGTGAGATTATTTATGTAAGGTTTTCAAAGAAATGGTAAAAACTTGATATAGTAGGTCATCAACTGATTAGGGTCCAACGAAAAAATATGAGGTGCGAAAGTGATATTATTCTAAGATTACATAATGGTTGTATTATTATGAGAAGACGGGTCAAATGTGAGATTATTTTTGTCTATTTTTTCTTTTTAATATCTCCCTCTATTTCAAATCATTTCATAGAAGAAGGGCAAAAGAGGGGACTGAGTACGCTTAAATCTAATTCTAGAGAAGCTAAACCTGATCGGCTCTTTGATATTACTTCCTCCGTCCTGAAAAGATTTGCCAAATTGACTTTTCTTGGTCAATGACAATCAACTTTGACTAATGATACTCCCTCCGTCCCTATTATATCTTCCAAATAAGTTTGACACACAATTTAAGATAGTGGGTATTGTGTGGTGGAGAGTTGTGCAGTGGAGAGAGAAATGTGTAAGAATTGCTGTGAACAACAAATTCTGGCCAAAAGAGGAAAATGGAAGTTTTAATTGAGACGGACGAAAAAGGAAAGTTGGAAGTTTATTTAGGGACGCAGGGAGTATCTTTTAATACGAAATTATTTAGAATATGAAAATTATATCGAAATATTTCTTATTTAAAATATTTTCATAAAAGTATAAAGTTTATAAATTAATTATATACAAATATAATAGTTAAAATCGTTGTTCAAAGTTTGTCATTATTGACTATGAAACGTCAATATGGCAAACCTTTTCGGGATGGAGGTAGAGGTAGTATGATGTTTTGGATTCCACTCCTCGAGTGGTATTTTCTCACATCAGACCTCAGAGAACGAAAAAGCAGATTCCAATATCAACGATGGGGTATTAATCAAAATTTGGCACTAATCAGAATATCTACAATAAGACATTGCTCGTCATGAGGGATAACTATTTGTCTATGGATAATAAAAACATGTATGCAAATGAAAACTTATAGCAAGAGAAATCAAAATTCACAGGGAAAAGGGTCAGATAGGCCCTCGAACTTACATAAAAGGGTCAAATAAGCCCTTATATAGGAGGCTCTGTCCGGCCGTCGCCATTTGGGGCGGTTCTCGGTCGAATTTTTTGATGAAAATTTTTGAGCATCTTATTCATAACGTCTAGTTTATGCATACCAAATTTCAGCTAAAACGTCATTTGAGAAGGTATTCAAATGAATTCTTGAAAATAACTGCGCATTTAAAAGCGCGGTTATCTTCAAGAATTCATTTGAATGTCTTCGCGATTGAATTGTTAGCTGAAATTTGGTATGAGTAAACTAAACTTAATGTATAAGATGTTCAAAAAATTTCATCAAAAAATTTCACCGGGAACTGTCCCAAATGGCGACGGCTGGACAGAGTCTCCTATATAAGCGCTTATATGATTTTTTATGTAAGTTTGAGGACTTATTTGACCATTTTCCCAAATTCACACTACAAGGACGCGATCTCAAGGTCATGCCAAATGGTGATGCATTTCCCCACGGGCTTAGAGTGTTATGTTTGGCATCTGTACACTAAGAAGGGTTGGGCTTTTCCCGAG